TAGTGCCATGAATTTAAACATTTCTAAATGTTTTAAATTTATAAACCATAAACTTCTCTTGCATATTCCAGACCCAAATAAACAACTGCCTCCTTGATGTCCTCATTTGTATGTCTAATTTCCCCTTCCAATTTAATGTGTCTACAAATGAAGTATTGATGGATCCCTACTCGTTTAACCCCTCGTCTTCTCTTTCTCAACAAATGGCACCACAAACTCACCTGTTGCCTGAACCCAAAACTTGGCATTCACTGCTTATATCTCGTGTCCTATTGATCGCCAGTTCCTGCTGAGTCCGTCTCCTACAGGGACCTCCCCAGCACCCCTCCTCCCCTCCATGCTCTCCCTGCTCACCTTACCTTACCCTGGCTCAAGTCGCCACCGTCTTTTCCCCCGACCACTGCGATTTCCTGGTCTTTAGTTCTTCTTTCACCCCTCTGTGATTCATTCTCCTCTCTGTAAATCACAACCTCTCTCTCTTCTGTTGAGAACCATCGCTGGCTTCACATCTCCTTTAAGATAAACCTGAACACCTAACCCTGCACGATCTCACTCCTGCCTCTTCTTCAACCTCATCTTACACTTCTGCCCTTTTCCAGTCTCCTCCCAACACACGGCCTTCTTATGGTCCTTGAACACTCACAACCTTTACACTTCTCCTGCCCTTTTCCAGTCTCCTCCCAACACACGGCCTTCTTATGGTCCTTGAACACTCACAACCTTTTGAGTTCAAGGCTTCTGCACTTGTCTGCCCAGAGGCTCTTTCCTACTTTCAGCACAGCTGGCCCGTTCTCATCTTTGAAAGCTCAGTTGAAATATTACCTCTTCAGAGGGAACTCTCCCAACCACTCTCTTCAAACTTGGATCCCCACGTTCATTTCTGACATTGCATCCTATGTATTCTCTTCAAGGTACTTACTACAGTATGCAAATATCTTCCCTATTGTTTATACTTAAAATTTTCTGCCTAGAATGGAATGTATTTATTGCCTGAAAATGTAAGCTTAGAAGAGTAGATATGCTGTCTAGATCACTGCTAAATCCTCAGCATATGGCATCAGGCTGGGCACACAGTAGCTGCTCAATAAATACTTACTAAATAAATGAATGATCCCTATGATCATTGCAACATCTGAATCTAGATATAAAAAGAAAAGAAAAATATCTCTGCTGACATGATATTGGTGCTTTGTGAATGCTGGGGAAATGATCACCTGTCACTGGAAGCACCATTGCTGGTCTGTGGATGGAGTTGTGCCCCTGTCTTCCTTCACTTGGAACTGGCACTTCTGAAGGTGTGATATTACACATCCTTAATATATGCTTGGGAGAAATGATCCAGGCATAGGATTTTTCTTAAGCTAAGAAATGAGTCTATTTTACAAGGAAACTAAAAACAGAACTCTGATTCATGAATTTGCTAATGCCTTTTCCCTCCCAGGGGAACCTCCCCGTGCACAGTGAAACCTCTCTGGGAGCACAGACTTATGCGTGATGCGAAGGTAACCATGGAGCATCGCTCTGCCCGTGATATGGTAGGCAGCGCCTGCCAGGCTTAACCTGAAGAGTACTCAGGTGAAGGCTCCCGCCACCATGTTAGGCTGTGCACCCTTCCGGAAGAATGCAGGTTTCTTCCCAGGCTTCTCCAAGGTTTGTTTTGAAGAGTTACTGACGTAGATGAATAAAAATGGCAATGATAACAAACACACAAATTCATTACAAATTTTCAAGACAAAGATGAGTAAGTCAATTTACAACCCAGAAAATAATTACAGGTAATTGGAGGAGGGTAAAAGAGTATCTTCCCTATTGTACTTGTTCGTTGGCTTCCTTTTACTTACTTTAACTTTGTTTTCGAATGGAGCAACTTCTGTGTGAAGTTTAAATTGCTTAATCACATAGCCTGCAAGTGGGAAAACTATCAGCTGGGCAACTCAGTGTACTTGCTTTCTTGCCCTTCACTGAAACATGCAAGGTGATAGGAGGGGGTGGAAACCAACAGCACAAACTCCGGAGGGAAGCAGAGGTGCTGCCGGGTGCACGTGGTGAAGGGCAGCTGGAGAATGAGGATGCAGCGAGTTCTAATGCTAGCGTCTGTCTTATCCACTCACCACCTGACTCCTTCCTCACACGTCGGGGAGCCTGAGTTCCCTCCTCCCCTCAGTCCTCTAAGAGCAAATGCTGCTGAGAGCCGCTGTGCTGCAATGCAAATAATTCTTACGTGCATCTTGTGGTTTGCGAGTACCTTTGTTTATCTCTCTCATCATCTTCCTCAGTGAGCTCTAACCACTGCACAAGAAGCTGTACAAAAATACCTCGCAGTGGTCAACCAATTCGTTTTGGCCACCGCCAGCCAGATGGGGGAAACTGAGGCACAAAGAAGCAAATGTCAACCCTACCTGGAAGTGGCAGTCTGAAAAGATCAGAGGAAGCCTCCTCCACCACCACATCCCAACCTGTCTGATCTGGTGAAGAAAGGCTGTATAACCTCTGGCAGAAATGGGGGGAAAACCATTCTTATCCCTTTTCTCCTGGAAAGTTAGAGAAAGAGCCAACGGGTTCCTAACAGTTGCCGACCCCAATATTGCCAAATAGGTCTTCATGGTGATAACGTGGCTTAGGAGTAGAGGCCATCTTTCCGGTATGGCACCTGACGTGTGGCCGGCTCACAGTAGATGCTCAGTAAATGCAACTCTTGTTTTTTTTTTTTACCAGCACTCTACTCTCTTTCCACTTCCCCTGTTCTTGGCCGCCCAATAAGCAGAAATTCCAGACGCATTCCCAGGAGGCTGAGCGCAAAGAATTCCCAGGGTGAATTCCCCTGAGCTACCATATCTCTGCAAAGCCACCATCTTCTGGTTCTTTCTTCACTGGAGCCGCTGCCTAACATTTCCAGGACTCCCTTGGAAAACTTCTGAAGGGAAAGGCACGGATAGACTTTCCACCTCTTTACTATCACGTTACAATCCTCGCAGCCTCACCCTTCAGGGTTTGCAAAGGAAGATTCTCTGAGGGAGCTACATTAGAATAAAACTTAAATTGGCAGCTCTCGAGACATCTGAAAAATACTTTCTCTCTCTCTCTCTTTTTCCCAGCAGACATTGGACAGGTTGGCAAATGGGTCTCCGTAAATAAAGAGGAACAATATATGATTTAATTTTTTCATCCAATTCTGGATGGGCGGAGGCCCGGTGCCCTATATTGTGTAGAGGGGCGGGCTGTGTTTTTTTCTTATTGATGAAATACACTGCGCAGGTCAACTGGATAAACCGAAAGGAGGGAAGCCCACCGCGGGGGTGGAGGAGGTGGCACGAGGGCGCCGGCGCGCGCTTCGGGGGCTGTGAGTGTGAACGTGTGAAGCCAGCGGCGTGCCCGGGGAGCGCGGGAAGGAGCGCCGGGGCGGCAAGTGCGCGCGTTCGCCCTGCGCCCCGCGCCGCGGCCCCGG